TGGGCGATGTACGGGGGTCCCTTCCAGCCCTGATTGCTCTGGGGTTGTTCGGGGTGGGTTTGTGTCCCCCCAGGTTCGGGGTTGTTCGGTTCTGTTCCCCTCGGGGTTTGGGGATTGTTCCCCTCGGGGTTTGGGGTTGTTCCCCTCGGGGTTGTTCTCTCTCTCTCTGTGCTGGAGTTTTGCCCTGTTTGGTTCCAGTACGAGGCCTGCAAGCTGAACAGCCAGGAGGTGGTGGAGGAGGACAAGAGGCTGAAGCTGCCCCCGAACTGGGAAGCTAAAAAGGCTCGGCTGGAGTGGGAGCTGCAGGTGCAGGAGAAGAAGAAGGTAAAGAACTCCCCAGAGCCCGGGGTGTGAGCTGGGATTAGCTGGGCTGGGCTGGGCTGTGCAGGGCTGGGATTAGCAAATCTCCTCTCTCAGGAATGTGCAGCCCGGGGTGAGGACTACGAGCGGGTGAAGCTGCTGGAGGTCAGCGCTGAGGACGCCGAGAGGTGGGAGAGGAAGAAGAAGAAGAAAAACCCCGACCTGGGCTTCTCAGGTGAGATTAAGAATTGTATAACATATATTAAAAATGCAATAAGATTGCTAAAATAATGCTATTTATATGTAAGATTACAGATTTCACTATAGAAAAAGCAGCTAAAAGGGATTACAAATTGTTCTATAGCAGAATCTTTTTGGTCAGTAATTACTTGTGAAAACCAATGCTATAAGAGATATTTAAAATTGTAAAAAATATATTAAAACCAGCATAAAATACATAAAATAATGCTATTTATATATAAGATGATAGATTATGCTATACCAAAAAGCAGAAAAAAGGGATTACAAATTGTTCTATAGCAGAATCTCAGTAATAACTTCCGAAAGCCAATGTTATAAAAGATATTAAAAATGTCATAAAACATATTAAAAATTCTATAAAATATGTAAAATAATGCTATAGAAATATAAAATAATGCTATAAAATATGTAAAATAATGCTATAAAAGCCATTAAATGCCATCATTTGTAACGCAGACTACGCGGCGGCGCAGCTGCGCCAGTACCAGCGGCTCACCCGGCAGATCAAGCCCGACCTGGAGCAGTATGAGAAGCTCAAGGAGCAGCAGTGAGTCCTGGTGTCAGTTCCTGGGGCATCTCTGAGGGCTCAGCACACCCTGAAATCCCTCCTGCCTGTTCTGTACTCTCAGGGGTCCAGCTTCAGGAGGGATGGGGGTAATTATTGAGGTTAATTTCTTTCAGTTTGGCACTGGAGGAAATACTAACCCAGTGAGGTCATGTTCCAGTGTGTGTAATCAGGCACTTCCTGGAGCAGAGTTTGGGGTTTTTAAGCTTGGTTTAAGGACTGAGACCTGCCCAGATTGCATTCAGACAGGTTTCTGGGGGGATCTGTATCTTCCAGAGGCACCTGCTGGTCCCTGTGTTGGGTTTAATGTTGACATTTGTCATCTGAGTGTGGGATTGGCATAGCTGAGTGTGACAGGGGAACTCAGGCAAAAGCAGGGAAACCATGAGGACAGGGACAGGAGAAGGGGTGAGGGGATCAGAGTGAAAGAGGGGAGATTTGGGTTGGATATTGGGAAGAAACTCTGCCCTGTGAGGGTGGGCAGGCCCTGGCAGAGGCTTCCCAGAGAGCTGTGGCTGCCCCTGGATCCCTGGCAGTGCCCAAGGCCAGGCTGGGCATTGGGCTTGGAGCAGTTTGGGATGTAGGGGTGGCACTGGCTGGGCTTTAAGGTCCCTGCTGGGATCCCCAGGAGCCTGGGCACTGCCAGGGGTGTAACTGTGGTCTCCCACAGCGGGGAGGCCCTGTACCCCACCTCCAACAGCCTCCTGCACGGCACCCACGTGCCCTCCAAGGAGGGCGTGGACAGGATGGTGGCAGACCTGGAGAAGCAGTGAGTACAGGGGGGCACGGGGGGAGGGAGGGCAGGGCTGGGGGCGCTGCAGGCCCGGGCTCAGCCCCTGCTGCCCCCCAGGATCGAGAAGAGGGAGAAGTACAGCAGGAGGCGGCCCTACAACGACGACGCCGACATCGACTACATCAACGAGAGGAACGCCAAGTTCAACCAGAAGGCTGAGAGGTTCTACGGGAAATACACAGCTGAGATCAAACAGAACCTGGAGAG